GCCATCAAGGTGACCTGATTGCTCACTCACATTCCCCACCAGACAGCGATAACTTCTAGCTCTCCTTTCCCTTGTGCGTGTTCCCTGTAGTCATCAGAAGCCAAATGACTCCATCCATAGTAAAGAAGAGCCACGGCCATTTCATCTCCCATCTCCTCTCCCCAGCAATGGAGTACCCTACACTTCATCCCATGCCACCCCCAATGATAATTTGAGTAATGATGATATCTTTGCGTGCAGTGGATTCCCTGGGTGCATTGCCCCCTCACTCTGCAAGGAGGCTTCCCCTGTACTTCTTGAGTTTATGATCAATTCCAGTATCCTGTCTGAGGCTGCTCTTGGAACCAGTTCCTGTATTGGTGAGTATGGGCGGGAAATAGATGACACACTTATACTGGGGAACTTGAGGAGAACTTAATAAGAGGACTATTTACAGAGGGAAGCGTGAAGGGAAATCCCAAGCGGCAGTGCAGTGCCTGGGACTATTAACAGGCCTGGAGGAGTGAGGGGAGGCAGCAACAGCAGGGCCGCAAAGCCAGAAAGCCGTGTGGAGGGACCCTGCGGCCAGTGCTGATCCTGTGGGGAGGGAAACAGGAGAATCCATACCCTGACCTCCTTCCCCTCCTTTCTTCTGCTGGACCCCCCTCACCCCCACCCCTCTTGGCCAAACCCAAAAGCTAGAGGGCGAGGGAGCCTATTGCAGGTGTCTGTAGATGTCAGTGTCCAGGAGGCTGGGTGGACAAGGGTGGAGAGAGGACCTGGAGGGGCCAACAGAAGAGAACCAGCAAAACCACCCATCTGATAAGAGCATTAATAACTGCCTTCATTGAACATCATTCATTATCCTAGTTAATCTGTCGGACAATCCTGTGAAGCAGGCACTAGCATTGCTCCCGATTCACAGATAGAAATCTGTCGCACATGGGGCTCGCCCCGTGGCCACGTGGTTAAGTTTGCGCGCTCCACTGCAGGCGGCCCAGTGTTTCGTTGGTTCAAATCCTGGGTGCGGACATGGCACTGCTCATCAAACCATGCTGAGGCAGCGTCCCACATGCCACAACTAGAAGGACCCACAACGAAGAATATACAACTATGTACCGGGGGGCTCTGGGGAGAAAAAGGAAAAAAATAAAATCTTTAAAAAAAAAAAAGAAAGAAATCTGTCGCACAGACAAGTGAAACAACTTGCTTCAAGTCCCACAGCTCGTAAGTGCCGGAGGTGGGATTAGGACCCAGGCTCAGTCTGGCTCCAGAGTCGGGCTTGGGCCAGCCCTGCAGGCTGACAAGCTGACCATAAGAGCAGCTTACGCCCGTGTGTGCTGGTAAGATCAAATACGTTTCAAAACCAGTATAATGTGTGGGCTGCTGATTTCAATTGGCACGTAATGTTGTTACTGCACCAGGCACATGCTACATTATTTATGCAATAAATTATAGGATATGTGTATATCATAATTATCACAATAACATAGCTCTGTGACTTTTCCCCTGTATGCGGTGAGCCCCTTGAGGATGGAGATCTGTATGCCAAGCATTTGGCATTGTGCACAGCGTGAGGTGGGCTCTCAAACGACGCTTGCTTTGAGTTGAAATCGATCTTTTCTCCTTGAGTTTATAACAATAGATTCAGTCAGTCAGTCAGTCATTTAGTTAACATTTCTGAGCACCATTAGGTCTCTGCAGGTGCTGGTCTAGGCACATGGGCATATGGATGAGTAGGACTCACAGTATAATCTAAGAGACAACATGTGGATAGTGAGATGAGCAAGGGACGGTGGAAGCGCAGAAAAAGGATCAGTTAATTCTGAAGGCAATGATGGAAGAGGTGGGCCCATTGAGGAGAAGCCTTTGAAGGATAAATTGAGTTTGAAATAATGAGAGAGAGGGAATTTTCAATGAGATAGAATTTTTTAAAATCATGGATGAAAGATGTCTAATGAGTTATAAATGAGCTTAGGGGTGTTTGGAGCCTATCTCTACACTTAGAGATTGATATCTGGCCTTGCCACCCCCTGCCGCAATGACCTCGTGGCCTCCTGGGGTCCTAGCTGATGCAGGGAGAGGCTGTGGGCGTGCCTGGACTGGAAATCTCTTTGCCCCTGCCTGTGGGCTTATTCACTTTTCCTTCTTTTGCCTCCCTGCCTTCTGCATGCACATCCATGACAGTGCGCAGGCTCAGAATGGCTACCCACAGGGCTGGGGTCTCTGTGCCCTCAAAGGAAAGGCAGCCTGGGATGGGGAGAGAACACTGGGTTAGGAGTCAGCAGGCCCAGGTTCCAACCCCAGCCCTGTTCCTCCCTTTCTTTCTTTCTCTTTTTTTTTGCAAGATTGGCAGCTGAGCTAACATCTGTTGCCAGTCTTCTTTTTTTTCTTCTTCTTCAACTTCCAGTACATAGCTGTATATTCTAGTTGTAGGTCCTTCTGGTTGTGCTATGTGGGATGCTGCCTCAGCATGGCTTGATGACGGTGCCATGTCTGCGCCCAGGATCTGAACCAGCAAAATCTTGGGCTGCGGAAATGGAGTGCACGAACTTAACCACTCCGCCCGGGGCTGGCCCTATTCCTCCCTTCCACGGGCGGTAGCTCTGTATGTAAGAGCGTTGGGCTCAATGGTGTTTGTGGTCCCTCCTGACAACCCTTGATTCCTAGGCTCATCCTGCCTCTCTCATGGAGTTGTGCTGAGGATAAAAGGAAAGAATGCGAGAGAAGAAAAATGATGACACTGAGACAACTCCCCACTTCCCAAACCCATGCATGTCACTCTCCCTAATTCTGAGCAAATTTGGTCCTCACTGTGCCTGGGAGGACACCCAAGGTTTGTTTTGACCTCATAGAGATGTTTTCATTTTGCACTTGACAGGTAGGAAAGAAGGAAATTGTGGAGCAGAAAACCAGAGTGCCCCAGCTAGGATGTTGGGAGTGGAACTGGTGCCAGGACATCTGAGACAGGGAGTGAAGCTGGTGAGTTAGGAGGGCATCCTTAGGGCGAGAACTGCAGATTGCCCAGGAAACTGAAGCAGGCCACAGAGCAGGATGAGCTCTTCCTTCATTCGGTATTCTGTTAAAAACGCAGATTGCTGTACTGCAATTCAATTCTCACGCTAACCACCTGGAGTTAGTGCAGACCCCACAAGTTAGAAGGCATGGTCCCCGACAAGACTGCTCTGATTTCAGAGGTCAGAGGGGTCCCCAGGCTGCAGGTACTTCTGACTGGATACAAATTTGGGGGGTTTCCATGACCCCCTTCAGGCTCAATAATTCACTAGAACAATGCGCAGAACTCAGGAAAGTACTATTCTTTTGATTACAATTTTACCAGAGAGGACACAGATCACTATGACCAGCTAAATGAAGAGACTCATAGGGCAGTGCCGAGCTTCTGGGCCCTTTCCTTGTGGAATCAGGGCTTGTCACCCTCCTGACACATCAGTATGTCTGCCAACTGGACTTCATGTCCAGAGTTTTACTGGGGTTTCATTACATAGGCATGGTTGATTAGATCATTGGCTGGAGCTTGAACTCCATCTCCAGCTCCCTCCCCTCCTGGACCTCACTGGCTCAAAGCCCCAGCCCTCTAATCATGTGGTTGGTCTTTCTGGTGTGGCCAGCCCCAATCCTGAAGCTATTTAGAGGCCACCATGAGTCACCTTGTTGGCATAAACTATCAGGGCCCACCATGAGTATCACTCCTAATTCTTGGGAAATTTCAAGGATTTACAGTCTCTCTCCCAGGAACCAGGGACAAAGGCCAGTCAAATTCTTTATTATATGACACTCAGCGTGGTTTCCTCCAGACCAGCTTCTCAAGCTCCCTCCCTCCAACTTTTTATTTCGACAAGTTTCAAACCACGTAGATCACCAATTCTGGGCAATTTTGCCACATTTGCTTTCTCTCTGTCATCATGATGTTTCACCCCTAAATGCTTCAGCATGTGTCTCCTACGAACAAGGTCAATCTCCCACATAACCAGAGCACAGTGACTGCACTCAAGTCATTTCACATTGATACAACACCATCATCTAATACACGTGCCACATTCACATTTCCCCCAGGGTCATTTGTGGAGCAGAAAACGTCCTTTATAGCTGATTTCCCCCTCATCTTGGATCCAATCTTCGCATGTTTCATATCTCCTTTCAACTGACAGACTTTCTCAGTCTTTTCTTTTTCTTTTTCTTTTATGACATTGACATCTACAAAGTGTCCAGGCCAGTCATTTTGCAGAATGTCTCTCACTTTGGTTTGTCTATTTCCTCAAGACTCGATTCAGAGTGAACGTTTCCGGCAGGAAGACTATGGAAGAGACATAGTATTCCCGCATCTGCAGTGTCCTTCTCAGTGCATCCCGTCAGGAGGCACATGATGCCAGTTTGTCCTCTTAATAGTAATTAAACTTTGAATCCTTGATTAAGATCAGGCTAGCTTTCGATAAACTTGGAAACCCGAGAATTATTGGTATTGACTTTCCAAGCAGTCAGAGGGACTGCAGCACACCTGGCCTGCTTTCATCTTTTCTCACCTGCTTTGGGAACATGAGGAGCAGAGTCTGGATGGCAGGAAATGGGAAGAGAGTCTCCAGGCTCTCCAGTGGTGTCACTTATTCCCAGTTCTCCTGAGGCCACTGGAGATGGCTCCACAGCCATTATCTGTCCGGTGCTTCTGAGCCTGGGATGGAGATTATCTCCCCGTCATGTGTCCATGCATGTGTCCCTGTACGTGCGCAATTCTGCGTGTGCAGGAAAGCAGGTATGTGCACAATGCCTATGCATGTGTGCAAACGTGCGTCTTTTTGCCCGCATCAGCGTCTCTGCACGCACGTTCCAGTGTGTGCAAGCCTTCAAGTTTCTTCTAAAGCATATGCCACGTTGGAGGCTCTGGGGTGGGCTAAACTGTGTATGGGTGTGTGCAGCGCTACTGCGCGGAGCTTGTCACGATTCTCAAAGCTCCGCCCTTTCTGGGCCGGCTTGGTCTGGTCTGCGACCCCCCTTCATTTCCTCCGACAGTGGTTGCACCCATGCCGCCCGGAAGTGTTTGCCTGCCGCACCCATGCCACCCGGAAGTGTTTGCCTGCGTCCACGACATGGCTTCGCCGACGGACACGGACTGGCCTGGCGCTCCGCGCTGGGCGGGCCGAGCTCCCAGGCCGGCGGAGTCGGCCCCGGCCGCGGTGACCCTGGCGCAGCTACTGCAGCTGGTCCAGCAGGGCCGGGAGCTCCCGGGCCTGGAGAGGCGCCACATCGCGGCGACCCTTGGCGAGCCCTCGGCGTCTCTGCTCCCGCGGAGGCCCAAGCCCTGGGAAGCGGCGGGCAAGACCGAGGCCCCCGCGCCCCCGCCCTAGACCCGGGGCTACAGCTCCCGCGGACCCTTGGGTACGCATGGAGGACCCTCCTGGAGGGGCCAGGCGGAGGCAGCGACCGCTCCGTCCTAAATGGCACGCAGTGGGTTCCTGAAGCTCGAGGTCCTTTGCAGCCGAGATCTGGAGGACGTGACTGTGGCATGAACTCGGACCCTGGATACTGGCCACTCTGTTATTCATCTTTTGTGCGTTCGCCCTGAACTGTCTCAACTGGACTTAGGCCTCCTGGGAGCATCATCGGGGTTGGTTTGTAGCCATATTTCTGGACCATGATCTTCATTAAAAATGTTTAAAAAATCCCGTTTCAATCCTTTCATGTAATTGAAACAAACCTCATACTTCCTTGACTATCTGCTATGCAGGTATGTTTTCACTTTAAAGATGCTACACACTAACCGGGTCTGAACCACTGGGAACAGCTTCTTAGCAATGTAGAGAACGTCAGTATTTATCTGTCTCCCGATTCACCTTATTCTGGGGGTTATGGAAGTGAATACAGGATCCATTTTAGACAGCCATTCTCCAGATCAGCAGTTAATAAAAGGTTTGATGATAAAACTTGGCCCAGAATGACTTCAAGGATACAGTAAATGAAGAAAAGCCCAAGCATTAAAAAAAAAAAAAAAAACAGCCAACAACAAAAACCTTAGAAGCCATGGCTGTGGGAAGCAGCTGGGTCAGGCAAGGGGCTGGAGGCTCAGAGCCGAGGAAGAGCTCCTCCAACCACCTTCTGAAGTCGGTCTCTTTCAACAGGCCATGTGGCTCTGCCCCACTGCTTCCTGAAACTAGGTAGTCTCCCCTACACCTGGAAGATATCAGGTACATGCCCTGTCACCAACAACCCACATTAGCATACACGAATCTACATATAATGCAAGAGGAGCTTTTCCCAGATAGAAAAAGTATAGTCCCACGACTTGTTCAGGAAATGTTCTATCATGGTACACTATGCAGAAGTGCATAATTTTTATACCCTATTTATTTACATAGAATTCTACGTTAAAAACTATTATTTTGATTACTCCTTTACCAACCATGTGAAGCAGAAAGGCTAGTGTGTATTAGCCCCATTTTACAGGCAAGAGTGGAAATACTCCCATATTTTGTATGAGACACATCTGCGATATAAACCCTGGGCTTCCACACTCAAAACTGTTCTTTTCCCATTACTTTTTTATTTTGGGGGAAGATTAGCCCTGAGCTAACATCTGTCACCAATCCTCCTCTTTTTGCTGAGGAAGACTGGCCCTGAGCTAACACCTGTGCCCATCTTCCTCTACTTTATATGTGGGACGCCTGCCACAGCATGGCTTGCCAAGCGGTGCCATGTCTGCACCAGGATCCGAACTGGCAAACCCCGGGCCGCCAAAGTGGAAGGTGCGAATTTAAGTGCTGCACCACCGGGCTGGCACCCCCGTTACTTTTTGATACATCATTTTAAAGTAATCTGCTTTCACAATGCTTTACAGTGTAAATATTCATCTATAACATCTATCTCTGGGAGGTTAACTCTTGAGGCAACCAACCTAATTAATTAGTCACAACCTGTCACATTTTAAGGTATTATTACACCTCTGACTTAATCTCACAGCTATGTTTGAGGGCCCCAGGAGCCAAAACTTCAGCAAAGCTGATCTCAAGGGACCAGGGGGCTCAATGGTTAATTCAGGCGTGTTTACAAGTCTTACCCTGGGCCTGGTGCGCCCTCATCCAACTCCTCAGAAGGCAAGTTGAGGCGACTGAGTGACAGGAGCAGAGGGAAGGCTCATTTAGGAGTGGACACTGATGACAAATACAGCAGAATGAGACCCCCTTTTCAGGTCAACCGTCCCCAGGAGCCCTAGCGTTGGTCTACTATGTCATTATCAGCAGGATAGAGGGTAACGCTTCTGGAGTCTAGAATATGCGAGGAAAGGGTCTAACTAAACTGCCTGCCCGGGGTCTAAAAGACCAAATAGTGCTAATTTCATCTAGGCCAAACCAAGGAAATGGTCCACTCTTTTCTGATTTGGGTTTTAAGAAGAGGACTGATCATGAGGGAAACCAAAAAATTCCATCCTGAAGCCCAGTGGAAATATACGGTGAGCAGCCCCCCAAGTTACAGATGGCACACGAGCTCGGCAAACGACGACTGTATTCTTAACAGGAAACGCCCAATTGGCATGAAGGACAAACGCTATTTGGGTAAGCTTTGGTCTTCCGCAGTACATGGAAGCAGAGGAGACTAGCAAGGTCACAGCCTGGCTGAGCAACGCTGACAGCGCACGCCTTCCTCACATGAGGTGCAGGGCTCCCTGCGAAGGGTCTACAAACGCCCTCCAACTTCCAAGCAAAAATGGGAGTTGACGTATGTTCTCCTGGGAAAGGGTCCTTTCCCTTCTCACAGATGAGAAGAGGTTAAAATCCTGAGCTAGAGAAAAGGACCAAACCAGAAGGAAACTACCAGACACACTTAGAGCCAGCCAAGTCTGCGAGCTCGCAAAGGCATCACTGGAAAGTTAGAACATGGACTCGCAGCTGAGACAACTGAGCAGTGTTTTTGTGCTCTTCCAACTGTATTTCAAGTTCTTTCCAAAACAAGGCCCTAGGAACCCCCAAGTTCAATATGCCCCTGGACTTGGTCCACTGCTGTCTGATATTCATTCACCAACATTAAGCCCCCGGAAAGAAGATGTGACAAAGCAGGACTCCCTCCTCCACGGCGTGAGTCGTTTGCTGATTTCAGAGGTGCCAGTGGCGGCCAACTGGAAACACACAGGAACTTTTCCTTGGAACCGGACTCTGAGGAGAAGCGCCTGCCAGGACCATCGCCATCCTCTCCCTGACCCTTCCTCTCCAGTTGCTGAAGATATAGCAGGAAATAATCTTCTTTGAAGATACTGGGTAACAATTCCAAGAAACAAAAACACACGCTTCCAACGCATTGTGCTTTCAGATATTCTGAGGAAGAAGAACAAACTTCATTAATAAAAACTTACTGCAACTTGGCACCTAAGAGTAAAAACAGTAATAAAAAGCAATTTCAAACAGCTGAGATTCCCCAAAAGATATGGTTTAGATCTTCGAATCCCTTCTGAAATTAGTTCTTAATATTATTCTCTCCCCACTTCCAGCTAAATGACCATAGCAATGCAGAAGGGGTGTTTTTTGTTACTGAACACTCTCTAGCCTGTAACTCTTGGGATATACACAGCCCTGTGACCTAACCAGGCATTCCCTGCTCCAAGCAGGTCTCCATCCATTAGACTTTAAATACCAGTGTCCTCTCTCCCCACAATGCCAGGGTTACTCTCAAATACTGGCAAATGCAAAAAGAATTTCTAAGTGGCAAGGAATCAAGTCAGCCCAGCCTCACCTGGGTTTAGTTCAGCTGCCGGATGAGCTGATTGATGCGTTCACCTCGGTAGCCAGGGGAGCCCACCTCCTTGAGGAAGCCCACTCTATTCTTGGTAGCATGACGGGCCACTGAGAGCTGGAAAGGGCGCAAGAACCCTGAGATCATCTGGAAATGCTTCCCCGGGAAGGCAATTTCATGAATGAGGTCTTCCAAGCAAATGACACCAAACTTCCCTGAGAAACATAAGGTACAGGTTCCTTTATTCGACATTTACCCAGCATATACTGCAAGGCTCCTGTATGCCAGAGCTGGGTACTGTGCCAGGTTCTTGGGACCCCAAAAAGAATATGAGCTGGACCCCACATCAAGACCACCAGATCCCTGCTTTCTGCCCCAACTGACCCCTAACGTGCACCACTTACCCAGGTGCTCCTCAATCACTGTGTTGTCCGTCAGAGGGATGGTTTTATTCTTGACCCTGGCTTGTCCACGTTTCAAGATGAGTTCCCGGACAGACTTCAGATTTGGAAATCTATGTGAGGCAGAGTAAAGTACAGCCTTAGCCAGCTCCTGGCACACTCCACTGCAAGCGCCACTCAGGCCTGTGGTCTGGCTGAGGACACATTCTCCCAACCACCCCCTCTGCGCACCAGGAAGCGTCCTGCACTCACAGTGCAGCTGGGAGGCTTGGGGATACGCAAGCGAAGAAGGGGGTGAAAAACCAGAGTGGCCCTGACTATGTCATCAGAAATGAAAACTTACAGATATAAATGTTCACCAGGCAAAAAATTTTATTTCCCCAGAAAAATAAAACAAGTCCTGGCTTACAGTCTAGGACTCTGGCCTCAGGTCACCCTCTACTCAAGACGGTGCAAGAGTTTGACATTAAATGCAAGCCTTTGTTGGGTTTTGATGTTTGAAGGAACACTACTCTTACACAAGCGCTGCCCCAGCTCTGCCTCAAGACTCGGAGAATTTCTCTCTCCTCCACCCATCTTACTCAGCCCCAGCCTACAAAGGAGCAAGCCCTGCCAGGGTACTGCTCACGGTGCATCAGCAGCACTGCCCCTCCTGCTCTACCTGCCCCATGTTCCAAGGCTCTTAGGGCTGGCAGCTGATTTCTGGTGACTGTGGTCACAGCAAAACGTTCCATCAACACAACAACATGAGCACTGGACGACAGGATGCTGTGCACCCTGCTGTTCCCAACACGTTCAAATACAATCTAAGGTGAAGACAGACACAAAAAACTGTACTCACCCCCAGGTCACGTAAGGTTCCACTGTGCGCAGCATTTTCATGGTGTGAGGGGTCACTCTGACAAAGACACCACTGAAAATCTTCTTCAGGCGAAGCTTTGCAATGGTACTCTGCACCAGTAAACTCACCCCATTAATCCTGAAACACAGGAAGTCAGGTTCTGTTCAGTTTATGTCAGCCCAGCAAGCACCTACGAAACGCCTGCCACTACTAGGCACCCACAGAGCAGACGCAGATCGCGCCTCACAGAGCTCAGCCGAGCAGGAAGCAGCTATGCAAAGGGATCATTTCCACACAACGTGGAGCAACGCCTGAGGTGCTACAGCAACAGAGATGGTCCCTGGATCTGTGGTGTGCGCGCCTGCGTGGGAGGTGGGGCGATACGTGTCAAGCTAAGGAAACTGGACTTGCTTCCGTGGGAGGTTAAAGCTACGGAGGATCCTAAGTAAAGGAGACGTGATCAGATTTCTTTTTGACAATCACTGAGGAAAGCATGTATGACCGATCTGAGAGGGTGACACCAGAGGCAGGGAAACTCAGTCAGAAAGCTAATGTGGTACTCCAGGAAAGAGATTAGGGGCAGTGGTAGGAGGGCTCATAAATACTCAAAACCCCACAGGCTTCTGGTTTGGGTGACTGGGTAGGAGAAACAAGAAAGGGCAAAATTGTACGTGTAGGTAGGAACAGGTAAGGAAAGTGCCCCTAAATGTGGGAAACACTTTATGCACGCTCCCCAGCACCAAATATGCTCCATCCACCCACTCGCCCTTTGTTCGGCTCCTAGAAAGACGCCTTGACTCCCTCACGTCAAGACTCTTTGCATCTATGCCTGGAAAGCTGTCCCCCAACACTAGTTAATTCCTATCACATTTGCAGGTCTCAGCTTCAAGGGCCTGCTTTACAAAGTGTCCCCACCAGGGTGCACACCCCTCTGCTACCCGTCTCCTCAGTCCCTCACATCCAGCACTTGACCCTCATAGCACTTGGTGCGTTTTCATGTCTATTTACCTAAAGTAAGTTTCCTTAACCTTCAAGACAAGAACTATGTTGTGCTCAACCCTGAATTCCCAGCACGACTTGCCTTAGTAGCTGAAGGCCTCCTGTCTTCTCATCTCCCTAGAGACTGGGTCTAAAGCCGAACCAACAATGTGCCCCAGCCTCACAGAACGTCACGAGTTCCTCACCTCTGGATGCGTACAACAAACGCTAAGGAATGTTCATCTGGCACTTCCAAGGCATGAGGTTTCACTTCTAGTCGCCTGAGGCGCACCCTGTCACGTTTTTGCCGCCAGGAATCATGCAGGAACCATTCCAGTCGCTTAAATTTGAGCTCTTTCCCCTTCTTCTGCTACAGAGAAGGCAGACCATCATCACCATTTTGTGCCTCTATTCATCTTTACTTCCACGACAGGGATTCACAAATCACTACTGACAGAGCTTCCTTCCCCGCGTTCTGCAAAGGGGAGCAAGTACCTCTATTCTTAGACAAGGAAAAGTGAGATACCCAAGTAAAGGGGGACTGGGAAAACCTGGGAACTACCGGGCAAAGTCCCTGTTAAATAAACAAGCAAAAATGAGTTCACACGCTGTCAACCAATGTTTCCCAACAAGTCTTTATGGAACCTAGCATTGTATTGGGCATCATAAAGCACAAATCAGGCAGGAGCTTGTTTTGTTTTCTGCCTCCAAAATACTTTCACAACTTTTTTTTTACAAATTATGTACTTTTCTCCAAAAACATTTTAGCAAGCAGTAAAAATTGGCACATTTAAAAAAATATGTATGTGTTCTTCTAGGTTCACAAGTATGTCTGCTCTCTCAAATTACTTGGTATGAACCTGAAAGAACCACCACCATTTCACTTTTTCCTTAACCAACTTTACTGCAGAATTTTGCCTGCAAAAAGTGTCTGATAAAGATGTGCTAAATGTGGGGCTGGCCCTGTGGTCAAGTGGTTAGGTTCGCGCGTTCTGCTTCAGCCGCCCAGGGTTTCAGCTGGTTGGGAACCTGGGTGTGGACATGGCACCGCTCATCAGGCCATGCTGAGGCGGCGTCACACATGCCACAGCTACAAGGACCCACAACCAAAAAAAACCCAATATATATATACACACAACTATGTACAGGGGGTGGGGGGGGATTTGGGGAAAAAAAGCAAGTCCAGTTCAACATGTGCTGGATAAAACTCACCGAATTCCAATTCGAACCCCTTCCTCCCGGTTCCCCACCATTACCTTCCTCTTTTCCAGAAGCGCCTGCTTTGCCTGGGTGGCTTTGAGGGCCTGATAAGCCTTCCTCTTTTTCAGGAGATTTTCTGGAACCAAAGGGATCTTTTTTCTTTGCCTGATACAGAAAATTGAGATCAGCGATAAGATTTAGGAAACAAATCTTCAATGAATTTCCAAACCATTTCCTGGGCTTCGGGAAACACTACTGTCTTCAAATTCCTAAGGACTGAGACTCCCCTGAAACCTGTGGTTTCTGACTCTAGTCCTCAAAATGGACCCGTACCATTCACTCGTCGCCAAAGCCTTAAAAAGTGCTCAACCTCCCGGCATCTGGTTCTCGTATACGTCAGCAGCTACTGTGCTACAGCCTTTTATAAACACTAGCACACCAGCAGCGATATGATTCTACTAAAATCCTGCGGGGATGCAGCGGGTGCAGACCCACCTGCGGGCGGAATATTAAGTCAGGCTGGGAGAACCCAAATCTGGCACTCTCCAGGATAAGAGTCAACCCTCGCCCCTCGACGTAACCCGAACTTGATGGCGGCCCCCTCCACCCGCCCACCCGTCCCCTCAACCCTCCGGCTCCCCACCCCACCCTCTGTCATCTGAAGCCTTTTCTATCCTCTGCCTCCAGTTCACAAGTACCCTTATTTTCTGCCACCGAGGAACGAGCACCGTGGATGGGACTGGATGCTCAAGACCCCACTTCCAAAGATTCAAAGCCCCAAACACTCACTCTTCCTCCGCCATCTTTCCGCTGCTGCGGCTACCGCTCATGCGCAGCTCCACCCCGTGGGGCCGAGAGGAACCGCTCTATGTTTATTTGACCATAGAGATGTCTAATCTAGCTCACGGCCGGCGGACGCAGACAGCCCGCAGCCTCTTAGCAGCAGTGAACCGCTGAGGTTTTGTTAACCCTGATCCCTACAAAAGCTGCACAGAGCTTTCCTCGCACTGCTTCCAAGCATTTCAGAACCTGTATCATCTTCAAAATCCAGCCCTTTTCACTTAAGCTATAGTCTCAAAATACTGGTGGCTAGACTATAAACAAGGAACTGCTTCCCACAACGCACTGCGACTTCCGGCGTTGGTGAGCGCCGCTCTTCCGGCTTCTGCTCGGCTGTGCCCCCCCTCATCCAGGGACAGACGCAGTCTCGGGTCGTGTTCTAGCTTGGTTGAGAGGTCTGGGGGCTCCAGTTGTGGCTTTCACGTGTGAGTGGAGGTGTTTGTGGACCGTTTAGGATGGTAAAGCATGCAGCTCCGATTCCGTCTGCCTGGCTCCCTCCGTGGGTCCCTGAGCAAGTTATTTAACCCGTCTGTAGCTTGGTTCCCTTTACCCATAAAAAGGTGTAGTAATGGTCCTTACCTAACAGCGTTATGAGGATTGTATGAGATACTCCATATAAAGCGCTTAGCACAGTGTTTGACTAAGCAGCCAACACTATGTTAGTTATTAGTGGTAGACCGAAAACTAGAAATTCCTCCTTGCCATCTCAGAACCTTCCGTCATAGCTCTCACCACCTGGAACATGCTTCCTTCTCTCCTGGTCTTCATAAAACAATGAAAAACATCTCAAGTCCCGTCTTTTCTGGAAGCCTCTAGAACAGCGCGTCTCAAGTATGAATGTGCATAGGAGTCACCCGAGGATCTTGTTAAAATGCAGATTTTTATTCAAGAAGGGGAGGGGGTCTGGGGGGTCGATGTTTTGCATTTTTAATATAATTCAAAGTGATGCCGATTCTTCGGTTCTATGGACCACATTTTGCCTAGCAAGGCTCTAGAGTAGTCTCTTTCCTTTCTCTGAATTCCTTTGGCACGCAATAAAATAACTTCCCCGTGATACTAAGAGAGCAGGGACCGTGCCTGCCTTGTGCATCACTGTTCCTAAGAGTCTAGCACAGGTTTCTCAATCTTGGCAGTATTGGCATTTTGGGCTAGATAATTCTTTGTTATGGGTTGCAGTCCTGTGCATTGTAGGATGTTTAGCAGCATCTCAGGCTTCTACTCACTACATGCCAGAAGCACCCCCACTCCAGTCGTGACAAAGAAAAATATCTCCAGGCATTGCCAAATGTTTAGCTTAATATATGTATATATTTATTTATCTTAAGGTCCAGGGCAATGTCGTTATTTGACAGTCGGCACTTAACAGACTTCACTACAGACTTTCTCCTGTACTGTTTGGCTTCTTATTTCCCTACTTAGATTGGGTGCTCTGAAGGCGGGCAATTTGTCTCATATTCTCTCTATCTTCTGCAACACCTATCATAACAATGGGCACCTGCAGGGGCTTGTGAACTATCTAAGCTCAAGGCATCATTCTGGTAGTTGCTGTGTAACTAGTCCAACCAGAGACAGTGCCACAATGCACAGAGCTCAAAGGACAACACAGTCTTCAGAGTCACAGACAGTGGTGGGAGGCTCATTCTCATCCACTCTTTCAGCATCTCACCATGTGTCTTTGTAAAGAGGCAAAAACAGAAGCATCACCAAAGTGTAAAACATCCATTAGATAGTAAACAAGGAAGAAAAATAAGTAATATTTTGTAACTCCCCCAGTCTACAGATAAAAGGTATGTTCTGTGGTACTGAAATTATTGAGGAGAGGAGAAATTTCAGGGGTATCAACAATACTCCTGGCTGAAAGGGACTTGGAGGCCAGGAATCAGGCAGGGTTTTCCAATGCCAGCAGATGGTGCTAGGAGAGTACTTATTCTCAGTGCTAGAGCTATCGTTCCACCAGAGTGATCCCGAGAAAAAGAGGTTGAGTCCTCTTCAACGCAAAATTGTTCGCTAACTGAATACATGTTTACTGAACATTGACCATATGCTCAGGCAAGATACAAGGTTTTTATGTCAAAGTGAGGTTGCTGAATGAGAGCGAGGCATGGCCATTTACAGCCTCAAGAATTATTCTTTTTAGCTTGTCCTCAGAGGCCTCTCTTCTCTTTTTTCTTAACCAATTCAGTTATCCATCATTAGGAATGGCTAAATAAATTGTGGAAGACTGTGCAATTAAATGCAGTGAGGTAGGTCTCCACGTCCCAGAATCTCAGTGGTGGGTGTTTTTCATTTTTTGGCTGCTGACATCCGTTCCCATTTCCTAACAGTATCCCATTTCTCCTGTGGACTGGCCTCTCCCTCGTCGTGGGCAGTCTGGGAGGGCAGGGTATCATATCCAAATACTTGGCCCCCTAATAGGTAAGTTGAGAGGGTCTCTGGAAGATCTTTTCAACTTCTCCCACCTCCCCAGTGGGAGGGGGCATCAGAGCCTAAACTTCTCTGGGTTTTGAATCTTGAGTAGAGTGATGATAGAAGAAGTGTAGGAGGTTTGGGGCAAGGCTTTCTAAGGATTTCCACCCACTAAGAGCTCCTGGAGTTTCCTTGTTCCTCTCTTTCTCAAGCCTGATGGTTCTTCAATCTTCCCTTCAATCCTTATCCTTCCTATAAAACTCCTTTATGCTGGTGAAGCAGATCGGTTTCTGTTGCTTACAACCAAAGAGTCCTGACAATACTACTACTCCCAGACATTTGGTTACATCTGAAAAAGCAAAATACAGAATAGGGTGTAGGAGTGCTCCCAGATTGTTTTGTTGCTGTTTTTGCTTTTTGGCTATAAATGTATTTGTGTGCAACGATTTTGGAAGGATATACAAGAAACTTGATGGGGGTTATTTTTGGGAAATGGGAGTGGGGTCTGGAACGGAAGGTTTACGTTTGTTTTATGCCTTTTATCACATATGTATTCGTTTAAGAAAAACTAAGATATTACTCAGGTGTTACTCTCTAGGTAATCAGGTTCTTCTGATTTGCCTGTTTTAGAAACCGCTTCACTATATGTTGTTTTTTTTATAATTCTTTTTTTTTTTCTTTGAGGAAGATTAGCCCTGAGCTAACTACTGCCAGTCCTCCTCTTTTTTTGCCGAGGAAGCCTGGCCCTGAGCTAACATCCGTGCCCATCTTCCTCTACTTTATATGTGGGATGCCTACCACAGCATGGTGTGCCAAGCAGTGCCATGTCCAAACCTAGGATTCGAACTGGCGAACCCTGGGCCGCCAAGAAGTGGTATGTGCGAACTTAACTGCTGCACCACTGTGCCAGCCCCTGACTATACGTTTTTAAAGACTTTTCAGGGCCGACATTTTGTGGTTCTCTGAATTGACTCCAGGATCCCTTTCCTAACATGTCTCACAATAAGTTGTTTCAGTATTGCCTGCACCTCTGGATTATTTGGAATCCTACTTTTTTTCACTTAAGAGATAATTGAGCAGTACCTTCTCAGTAAGGCAAAACCACCACACTCAACACAACCAGAAGGGGGCTCCATCCGTAATCTCCCATCTCCCCCAAACCTCTTGGATTATGACCCTTCCTGCAGTCAACTTCATTTGGTTTCAGGCTTTCCTTGCTGCTTCCTTAGAGAGTGACGTGGGGTGTCCAGGAAGCAGGAGGGAAAGAGAGGACGGTGAGAGCAGCCAGATGAGCCTGGCGTAGGGGAAGGAACATGGACAACAGCTTTTGATCCTGATGAAAAACAAGCATAAGGGAGCAAAGGCGGGAAGGAAGAAGGAGAGCACAAGTGAAGGAAAGCAGCCTTCTGAGGGTTGAGGGTAGACACAGGAAAGCTAGGGTTGGAAGGGGACAGCGTGCAGTAGGTAAGAACAAAAGCACAACAGAAAACCCAAACCTCTGCTGAGTTATTTCAGGGGTAATGAAACATTAGCTTATTCCACCTTCCACACTTCTTCAGTAACACCTCATTTTACACCCTAAGAAGTGGAGGGCCGGGACAAGTCTTCCTAGTTTATAGGCAAGGAAGCTGAGGCTGAGAGTAACTTGCATGAAGGTATCTGCTTACCTGTTTGATGAAGTTCTGGGACCTGTTTCCAGATTCTGCTGCCAAAGGCACTTTCTGCCCAGCCCATTGTACTGCTTTCCTTGACCTTCACACAAATGATTTTTTCCTAAGGATCTTCTTGCCTTTACAAGCATTTTTAAAGGCCAGGCTCTAGTGCACGCCTACAAAGAATACAGATTAGTGTTTCTTCTAAAGGCTTTTCACTTGCAGCAATGTAGACACGGCTATGCATCCTACGGAATCCACTTCATACTACGAATGTGCTCCTACCATCTGTGTGTTTACTGAAGCAGGTTTCTCCACATATTTAGCACTATAATTACAAAATTCCTTTATCTTCATTCCTGCAGAAAGGACCATACTCTTTTTTTCTGAAATATAACCCAGGAAACTGTACTAAGACCCAGGGCATGGAAACAGAGATTGCAGCTCTCTACTAAGTGGCAGACTGAGAGTTTCAGCCCCGTTTCTTCTCTCCTGAACTCGTCAGTTCCTTCATGTAACAATTATTTGTGTGCTCGTTTCCTCTCTAGACTGTGAGTTCCCTAAGAGCAGAAATCATACTGAATTATCCGATATCCCCAGTGTCTGGTGCAGTGCCTGTCAACTGCTCAATGAATGTTTGGGGGTTAATGCTCTCCACCTGCAGCTGGCTGCCCAGGAGTCTGTGTCGGAGAACACACACAAGGCTGAAGTAGAGCCAGGGCCTGGCCCCTTGAGGACAGCACAGCTCGAGCCCTGCCTGAGATGCTGTTTCAGTACCCCCAGACAGTGGAGGTTTCTTTTCCTTTCCTTTCCCTTTCCCCGCAATCATCCACTGGCCACATTCTCCACATCAAGGAGTACTGGGGCCGCCCAGACTTAGGGCTGGGGTCTTTAACCATCCTAAGAGAAGATGCCTGGTCTTTCCTCTGGGCCTGCCCCTGGGGAACACAGAAACTCTGATCCTAACCAAGCAGCCAGATGATCCATCCTTCTAACTTTTCATTCAGGGGGCACTCCCACCGTGAAGGGCCTGAAGAGGAGCTAGAATGTCATGGTGGACAAACATTTGTCCTTAGCAAGAAGAGAAGCTTGACATCATGGCAACACTTCAAAAGACATTAAGGGATCCATCCATTGACGTGATTATTCTAACTTTTTTTCTTTATGAGAACTACTTCCTATTTCTGTATGGAGTACT